AGTCCCTCCCCAGCTTTTCTATAGGCACCCTTCAGATATTGAAAGGCCGCTATAACGTCTCCCCGGAGCCTTCTCTTCTCCAGGCTGAACAATCCCAGCTCCATCAGCCTGTCTCCATAGCAGAGGTGCTCCATCCCTCTGATCATCTTCGTGCAGGGCTTCGCGTTGCAGCCTCTCCCCCTGCCCCTTAAAAGCATGACCCTGGGAAGCAGAGCAGCTGGGGTTCTGGGCGGTGGGAGAGCAGAGCGGGGCACAGGGAGAGGAGTCCAGCGGGTGCCGAAGAGCCGGTGTTTTGGGAAGGGGCGATGGGATGGCGTCGCCTGCTCCTTCCCCTGCCACCTTCTGATAAATCAGTGCCCAGGGAAATACCACTCCTCTTGGCTGTGTTTAATAAATCACCTCTCAGCGTTTGCACTCTCTGAGGTTCTTACCAAGTTCGTGTAGCTGCAAACCCTGCAAAGGGAAAAGACGCATCAGACCCCCCCTCACCCCCCCCGGGAGTGGAATAAGCTAGAAACCAAATATAAACCCAGACTATGCAAATCCAGTCTAACGAACCCTGCTGAAGCGCAGACATCCCATCTGGGAGTGGGATGATCCACAAGCAGAGTAGCAAAGGGGCTGCTTTTTTTAATGGCTTTCTTGGGGCGGGGGGGAGCTTGTAAAATTTGGAAGGCTGCAAATGAAACCTCGCTGCCTTCCCAGTGGCGGTGGGAGATGTGGGGTGCTGGGGGGCAGGGGAGGACAGCCTGGGGGGACGTGAGGATGCTTTCTGGCATTAAACCCTACGGATTAACAGCGAAAAGAGCACGCCCTGCGTCCGCGCTTCCAAATCACGGTCCAGAAACGCAGCCAATCTGCCAGGCAGCTCCCCAGAGACATCAGTCCTTACGGGAGCTCTGCGGCGTGGGGCAGGGCAGGGGGGTTTTTGCTTCACTAGGAAAGGGCAGGGAGGCAGCGGGTGAGCAGCTGAGCAGCGGGGATCTGGCTTTCTGGGCACAGCAGCCTGTAATTTATCTCCGTGAGGAACTGAAGGGGATTTAGAGGGGAAAAAATGGCATGAAGTTAAATAGCAGTGTTGCCTCGGCATCCTTACAAATAAGCTTTACCTGCTGTTCGTTCCCATCTTGGTTGCAAAGGCCATCATTTACCCGAACAAAGGCAAGGGGGGATGCTGAGAGCGGTTGTCAGGGAGCACGCAGGGCCAGTCCCCGAGGGAGCGGGGCTGCAAAGGGGCCCTGGGACACTGCCCTGCTCGGGGACAGCCACCAGCCCCAGTGCCAGCACACCCTGAGGGTGCTCAGCGAGCCTGCAGGGAGCTGAGGCTGTGCTGGGCTGGGTGGGCAGCAGAGGTGCCCCCCAGGCTGGCAGGATCCCAGGCACTGCCCTAGGGCAGCATATCCTGCCTCTGCCTCCTCCCGCTGAAAAGCCTTTGGGTTCAGGCTGTGCTACCCCTGCAGGTGCCTGGGAGAGAGGGCAGAGCCTGGTTTTGGCACGTGGAGGGACTGGCTGTGTCCATCTCCAGTCCATGGCTGTTTGGTGTCTCTGCCTGGCTCTGCATTCCATCCTCTGCCTCTGGCTACACCTCTGGGGTGCCGATGCTTGGGGGACCCCAGAGTGTCCGAGACCCCTCTGGGCTTCTCAGGCTGAGGTATAAATCTTGGCTTTCGCATTGAGCAGATTTAAGATCAAGCCTCTCTGTTCTCTCTGTCTGCAGTACCAGAGATTTCCTAACACACTGCAGCCAGAGTAATGGCACATACATTTAAGAGAAGGTGACGTGGGTGTCCTGCTGGGGATCCTCCCTCACCAGGCATTGGGATGGGGGCCATTACCTCCAGCTTGGTCTCCAGCCTGGCCCTGGGGAGCTCCCAGGCAATCTGCTGGGGACACTGGGGGAAAACCCTTCCTGAAGCCGGGGTTTCTCCCTCCCACCAGCTGGCCCTAAAGCTGTGGTCCATCAGGAGGTGGGCAAACACACCTGTGTGTACCAAGCCACCCCTCCTGCAGTGACAGATGGCCCTAAAATGCCTGACTCCCCACAGCACCCTGTGGCTGGGACTGTACAGCCTGGCCGTGGGGTTTGCTCCCCGGGAGAGGGGCAGGATTGAGTCCTGGGGTCGGAGCCCCATCCCCGGGAGCCAGATGTGCACGCTGTGGGGGGGGGAGCCGGGCGAGCCGTGGGGCTGCAGAGCCCCAGTGTGGGTTTCAGTTTAATCGCTGGGGCTGGGGAACCTCTATTCATTCCCCACTCGCATTCATCTGTGTCCTAGTAACGTGCTCTCCCCACCTCCTCCCCGCACAGGCACACACGGCTGGATAATGGCAGGAGCCCGGCAATCTCGGCTGCTGAATAGCGGCGTAATTACCAGGCTCTAATGGCGAGCTGGAACTCATTAGCCATTATCAGCCGTTGGGGCAGGACAATGGCAGCACCCCGGGGTGCGCGGCTGCGCTGCCTGTCCCCGGGCGCCCTACACGCTGCTGGGTGGCTCCAGGGCCAGCCCCGTCGCTGACCTTGGCCTCTCGCCTGCCTGGGGAGGCTCTGCTTCCAGATGGCAACCATGGCCTTGGCGTTCAGCCCCATCGTGTGACCCGGAGCATCCCTGCTCCCCACTGCAGGGGGGTTGTGGAGCCCTGGGTGTTGGGTCCTGCCCAGGCACCACAACCCGCTCCTGTGTGGCACCCTCCTGCCTCTCCCCCCAGCAGCTCGTCCTTCCCTCCATGGCCTCCCCCTCCTGTACTTTATTTGGTTCCTCTTTCTTTCTGTGCCACCATTCAGTGCAGGCAAACCCTGTCTCCACTGTGGGAGCCCTCCCCAGGCCATGCTTTCACACGGGCATCCCCCGCCCCCAGTACATGCCGTGGGCAGATCTGCCCCGTGGCTACGAGCACACAGTGCCGGGGGGTGCTGCACGGGGACCCCCAGCTCTGCAGGCTCTAAGTCCAAGGGCTGACAGCCCCTGTCCCCCCCTGCAGTGCTCACAGCCCCTGACGCAGAAAGACACTGCCAAGCTGAGATTGTGAGGCGAAAATCTCTGCAGCTCCCGCCTCAATATATTTTAAAGCAGGATAATCCTAGCGGGGGCACGCTGGAGAGCGTCGGGGGAGAGCTGGGGAGGTGTAGCTGGCCAGCTGGGAGCCAAACCCCTGGCACATGTGGGTCCAGCAGTGGGGCACACCTTGCCGTGGTGCTCAGCAGAGCCTGAGCAGGATGGGAGCCGTGAGGTGGGTATAGGCACCCCGTGGGCAACCCCCTGCCCTTCTTTCCACCAGCAGGGCAAGCAAGCCGGGATGGTATCTCCCCTCTGGCTGGTGTGCCTGTCCCTGGGCTTGTCCAGGGCTTTTGTGTGTGGGAGCAATGCCAGGGGAACCAGCTGGTCCCCTACAAGTGTCTCTTGAAGCGTGGTTTATTCTCCAGGCAGGTGTTTCGAGGTGGCACAGGGCAGAGCAAGGTGTGAGGTGCTGAGCACTGAATTGGTGGTGACGCGTGTGGGTGACCTGGTGTTTGGAGGGGTCCTGCTTTTCTGGGGGACTGTTATCCACTTCCTTATTACCCCTGCCCTCTCTAAGCAGCTCTGTGTGTCTGAGATGACCCTACCAGGTGTTTGCTGCTTTTCCAGAGCGGGGTGATGTGCATCCAGCCAGGTGGCTGCTGGGCTCGTTATTGCGTTGCTGATGGGGCTGGGGCTTCTGTCCCAATGGGGGCATCCAGTGTAGGGAGAGTGAGATGGAGGAGCTGGGCAGCCCATGCCCCTTGCTGCTTTGTGGTCCACAAAAGATGCCAGCTTAGATACTTCTGACCAGCCAGGCTTCTGTGTGCCCTTGAGGGTGAGGGTTGTCTCTGGAGCCAGTGGCTAGACCTCCCAGTCCCGGCAAGGGGCACAGAAATGCAGCAGCCACTGCTGTCCTTTGGGCCTTGTCTGCCCTTTTGGGGGAAATCCTGGGGAGCCCCAGCCCCTGGGCACCTCCTGACTGCCTCCTTGCTGATCTCTGCCTCTTCTCTCCTCAGGGAGCTCAATGGCAACAACATCACACGGATCAACAAGAATGACTTTGCTGGACTGAAGCAGCTCCGTGTCCTGTGAGTTCCCAGCGAAGGGCTGGCTGCCCTGACCTTGGCGGGGGCCCTGCTTGGCTTGTAGCCCCTCCTGGGGCTGGTAGAGATGATGCTGAGCCCTTTGCTGGGCATCTGCTGGCGGGGCTGGAGGGCAACTGTGTTGGGTTGAGCATGGTGGGCTTCCAGCTGGGAGGGAGTGGGGAGAAAGAGGCCGGGTTGTGTTGAGGGGATGGTGGGAGCGCGGTGGCCCCGGGTCTGGAGGAGCATTGGTGACCCTGCTGGTGAGACGGGGTTGGGGACCACCTCTCCGGAAAGCTGACCCCTTCTCTCTGCAGGCAGCTGATGGAAAACCAGATCAGCACGGTGGAGCGTGGGGCGTTCGATGACATGAAGGAGCTGGAGCGGCTGTGAGTGCCCGGGCGCGGAGGCGGGTTGGCACGGGGCCGCCAGATTTAGTCACAGAGAGCATCCTTTCCTTTTTTTCCTTAAACCATAATGTATTGGTGCTGCCTGACTTCAAACAGCTTCTGTGGTGCACAGCAGCGATATTTCACAGTGTGGGAAGCAAACCTTGTTGCTGGGCTCGTTATTGCGTTGCTGATGGGGCTGGGGCTTCTGTCCCAATGGGGGCATCCAGTGTAGGGAGAGTGAGATGGAGGAGCTGGGCAGCCCATGCCCCTTGCTGCTTTGTGGTCCACAAAAGATGCCAGCTTAGATACTTCTGACCAGCCAGGCTTCTGTGTGCCCTTGAGGGTGAGGGTTGTCTCTGGAGCCAGTGGCTAGACCTCCCAGTCCCGGCAAGGGGCACAGAAATGCAGCAGCCACTGCTGTCCTTTGGGCCTTGTCTGCCCTTTTGGGGGAAATCCTGGGGAGCCCCAGCCCCTGGGCACCTCCTGACTGCCTCCTTGCTGATCTCTGCCTCTTCTCTCCTCAGGGAGCTCAATGGCAACAACATCACACGGATCAACAAGAATGACTTTGCTGGACTGAAGCAGCTCCGTGTCCTGTGAGTTCCCAGCGAAGGGCTGGCTGCCCTGACCTTGGCGGGGGCCCTGCTTGGCTTGTAGCCCCTCCTGGGGCTGGTAGAGATGATGCTGAGCCCTTTGCTGGGCATCTGCTGGCGGGGCTGGAGGGCAACTGTGTTGGGTTGAGCATGGTGGGCTTCCAGCTGGGAGGGAGTGGGGAGAAAGAGGCCGGGTTGTGTTGAGGGGATGGTGGGAGCGCGGTGGCCCCGGGTCTGGAGGAGCATTGGTGACCCTGCTGGTGAGACGGGGTTGGGGACCACCTCTCCGGAAAGCTGACCCCTTCTCTCTGCAGGCAGCTGATGGAAAACCAGATCAGCACGGTGGAGCGTGGGGCGTTCGATGACATGAAGGAGCTGGAGCGGCTGTGAGTGCCCGGGCGCGGAGGCGGGTTGGCACGGGGCCGCCAGATTTAGTCACAGAGAGCATCCTTTCCTTTTTTTCCTTAAACCATAATGTATTGGTGCTGCCTGACTTCAAACAGCTTCTGTGGTGCACAGCAGCGATATTTCACAGTGTGGGAAGCAAACCTATTTCTGTTTCTGTAGCTTTTAAAGTCCTTTCTGATGCTTTTGAGGTGAGGGGCAGGTTAAACACAAATCACTCTCACTGTTATCAGCTGTGTCCTGTGTGTTAGCGAGGGAGCCGTAAGTTCCAGTCCAGTACGCAGTAAAATAGCTCAGCAGTTTAAAAATCCCGATCTGCTCGAGCAAATAATGCGAGGAGCTGAGCGAGCAGCAGGTTAACTGCGCAGTTAAGCAGCAATCAGCAGTTAACAGCTTGGAGTCCTGTCTGCGTGTAATTACAATATTGTGAGTAAGTTTATTAAAGCCCCGTTGGTTGCCCTTGCCCGGGAGTGCTGTGGGCAGGACAGGGGTGTCCTCGCCAGGCGGGATGCTCCGCTCTGATGGCTCCTCTGAGCGAGCCAGAGCTGCCAGCTGGGCTGCAGGGGTTGTGGGATTGCTTTGCCCTCCAAATCCTGACCCTTTCCTCCTTCCCTGCAGGCGGCTGAACCGCAACCAGCTCCACACCCTGCCCGAGCTCCTCTTCCAGAACAACCAGGCGCTGTCGCGGCTGTGAGTACCCTCCGTGCTGGCAGGGCTCCCCTGCCCGGCCGTGGCGTGGGCTCGCTCGTGGGGCTGCCGTGGGGTTTGGAGGGGCACTGACATCCTGGGGGGATGCTCCTTCTGGGATGGTTGTGCTGGTGGTTGCTGCTGTTGTGTCTCAGTCAGTGCCCAGCGTGTGGCTGGGGAATGCACCCGAGATCCTCAGCTGGAGTGTGCAGTGTGGTGGGGAATTGTAGGGTGACAGAGATGATGAGGGGCCTGGAGCATCTCTCTGGTGAGGAAAGGCTGAGGGACTTGGGTCTTTTTAGTCTGGAGAAAAGAAGGCTGAGGGGGAATCTGATACACACCTATAAGTACTTCAAGGGTGGGTGTCAGGAGGATGGGGCCAGGCTTTTTCCAGTGGTGCCCAGGGACAGGACAAGAGGGAACGGGCACAAACTTGAACGGAAGAAGTTCCATCTCAACATGAGGAGAAACTTCTTTGCTGTGAGGGTGTCAGAGCCCTGGCAGAGGCTGCCCAGAGAGGTGGTGGAGTGTCCTTCTCTGGAGACATTCAAACCCCACCTGGACATGTTCCTGCTCTGGGTGGCCCTGCTCTGGCAGGGGGTTGGAAGAGATGATCTCCAGAGGTCCCTTCCAACTCCATGTCATTCTGTGACTCTGTGAATTGGCTTTGCCTTGCAGAAGCCTTGGGGCCTGTGCTGTTAAAGATGGGGTTTAAGGGCCTGGGGATGCAGGAGGAGGTGGTGGCCGTTTGGGCTGGGGCTGGCCTCCCTGAGCCAGGCTGTGAGCCCCACAGCCTCCCCTCTGGGCGCAGATCACAGGCTCTGGAGTGGGGTGCCTGTACCCCCTGGACCAGGTTGTCTTGAGGGGAGAGTGAAATAGAATGTCCTCAGGGGGGTCACATCCTGCCCAGAGATTTCCATGGGGCACAGAGTGCCCCACGTCCCCGCTGCAGAGCTGCCTTCCTGCTGCTGTCTGGGGCAGCCTGGGGCAGGAGGGGGAAACCCTGCCTGGGGCAGATCCAGCCCCTTGTGCCTGCTGCCCCTTCCCCATCCCTGCCTGTCCCTCTGCACCCACAGAAACACCCCCAGGGACCATCTCCTTTCGTGCAAGCCCCAGTCCCCTCCACTCCTCCTCCCTCCATGGGGCAGCAGGCTGCCTGGGCAGGGATGCTGGGCTTTCAATAAATACTCTCTCTTCCATATTGGCTTTCCCTCGCCTGGGGCTGCTTTGCCAGGGGAGTGATGCTGTCAGCAGTGCCAGCATTGTTCCCTCTGCAGGAAATCCTCTTAACTAAGAGTTTACCAGCTCTCAGCTCGGTCAGGCACCACGTACACCTGGAAGGGGACTGCGAGGAGGAGAAGGGCGGGTGCCAAACCAGGGCTGGGTGCTCCCCATCGCTTGGAGAAGGTGCTTGCACCCTGTGGCTGATCTGCAGTGTGCAGGAGCAGGGCAATCGTGGCTGGGACACGAGCTCTCTGCTTATTGCATCTTGTCTCCTCGTTTCTCCGCTGTGAAATGAGGATGCGGGATTCCTGCTGGGGCAGGGCAGGAGTGGATGAAATGGTCTGGAGTGGCAGAAGGGGCTTTGCTCACTGGGGATGCCAGTTTCTTCCACCAGTGCCAGGGAGTCAGTCCCGGCGTCCAGCCGAGGCGGGGTAATGAAGGGTTAAACCGCCGTGTGGGTTGCCAGCGTGGGATGTGTGAAATGGTGGATCAGCGCCAAATGATGGGCCTAGGTAATGGCAGCTGATAGCACAGGCGTTCAATTAATTATCAAATGGCATTTGTCGAGCTCAGCTGTGCCGTATCGCGGCGCCAGCAAGGACCCATCCTCCTCCAGCCGCCCGTTGCGTAACAAAAACAAGGTTGGGAGAATTATTTTACAATCATTTAATGTTTCCCTTTTAATCTTCTCCGGACTTTGATACCAGGGTCTTTCAAAAAGTAAACCCCATCCATTAACTGGGGAGATACAAAAGGGCAGCCTCCTGGGCGGGCTGTGTGGTGTGACCCCCCATGGCCCCCGGGCTCGCGTGGAACCGGGGCCACGTGTACCCTCACACGGTGTGCATGGGGCTGTATATACCCTCACACAGTGTGCACAGGGCTGTACATACCCTTACATGGTGTGCCTGGGGCTGTACATACCCTCACACAGTGTGCAAGGGGCTGTACATACCCTTGCACGCTGTGCATGGGGCTGTACATACCCTCACATGCTGTGCCTGGGGCTCTACATCCCCTTGCATAGTGTGCACGGGGCTGCATATACCCTCACACGGTGTGTACAGGCTGTACATACCCTCGCACGCCGTGCACAGGGCTGTGCATACCCTCACACAGTGTGCAAGGGGCTGTACATACCCTTGCACGCTGTGCATAGGGCTGTACATATGCTTGCACAGTGTGCATACCCTCAAACGGTGTGCATGGGGCTGTACATACCCTCACATGCTGTGCCTGGGGCTCTACATACCCTTGCATAGTGTGCACGGGGCTGCATATACCCTCACACGGTGTGTACGGGCTGTACATACCCTCGCACGCCGTGCACAGGGCTGTGCATACCCTCGCACAGTGTGCACGGGGCTGTATATACCCTCACACAATGTGCATGGTACTTTATATACCCTCACACGGTGTGCACGAAGCTGTGCATACCCTCGCACAGTGTGCAGGGGGCTGTATATACCCTTGGATGCTGTGCAAGGGGCTGTATATACCCTATAGTGTGCAGGGGGCTGTGCATACCCTTGCACAGTGTGCACGGGGCTGCATATACCCTCACACGGTGTGTACAGGCTGTACATACCCTCGCACGCCGTGCACAGGGCTGTGCATACCCTCACACAGTGTGCATGGGGCTTTATATACCCTCACACAGTGTGCACAGGGCTGTACATACCCTTACATGCTGTGCCTGGGGCTGTACATACCCTTGCACAGTGTGCAGGGGGCTGTACATACCCTCGCACGCCGTGCACAGGGCTGTGCATACCCTCGCACAGTGTGCACGGGGCTGTATATACCCTCACACAGTGTGCACAGGGCTGTACATACCCTTACATGCTGTGCCTGGGGCTGTACATACCCTTGCACAGTGTGCAGGGGGCTGTACATACCCTCGCACGCTGTGCATGGGGCTGTATATACGCTTGCACAGTGTGCATACCCTCAAACGGTGTGCATGGGGCTGTACATACCCTCACATGCTGTGCCTGGGGCTCTACATACCCTTGCATAGTGTGCACGGGGCTGCATATACCCTCACACGGTGTGTACGGGCTGTACATACCCTCGCACGCCGTGCACAGGGCTGTGCATACCCTCGCACAGTGTGCACGGGGCTGTATATACCCTCACACAATGTGCATGGTACTTTATATACCCTCACACGGTGTGCACGAAGCTGTGCATACCCTCGCACAGTGTGCAGGGGGCTGTATATACCCTTGGATGCTGTGCAAGGGGCTGTATATACCCTTGCACAGTGTGCATGCCCTCACATGGTGTGCATGGGGCTGTACATACCCTCACATGCTGTGCCTGGGGCTCTATATACCCTTGCATAGTGTGCATGGGGCTGTATATACCCTTGGATGCTGTGCAGGGGGCTGTATATACCCTTGCACAGTGTGCATGCCCTCACATGGTGTGCAGGGGGCTGTGCATACCCTCACACAGTGTGCACAGGGCTGTATATACCCTCACATGCTGTGCCCGGGGCTCTACATACCCTTGCATAGTGTGCATGGGGCTGTATATACCCTTGGATGCTGTGCAGGGGGCTGTATATACCCTCACGTGGTGTGCACGAAGCTGTGCATACCCTCGCACGCTGTGCACGGGGCTGTACATAGTGCTGTGGGTGAGGAGGGGTGTGCAACATGCATCTGCAGGTGCATTTCAGCCTCTGCCTGTTGCTTTACTGTTGTTTCCCTCCATGTGGTGGTTGTTTCAAACCTGTTCCCTCCAGCCCTGCCTCGGGGCTGTCTTCTGGCCACCTCAGCTGGGAGAAACCCTGCCTGGGATGAACACCAGCACCTGCAGCTTCTCTTGTGCAACCTGGGGCTGTGTGAGGGGGATCCGACTTCGCAGCCCCTCAGCAACAGGCAGTGCCGTATCTTGGGGAGCAGAGGGTCCCCGTGAGGAGCTGTGGGATGGGGGACAGTGCTGGGGCCACCTGGGGAGAACATCAGGAGCTGCTGCCTTGGGAGACCCTCAGGTGCTACACAGTGGAGGACCTTCTGCTCCCTCTTCTTGTGGTTTCTTGGTGCTGAGGTGTCCAAGGACAGTTTGGGGGGGGACACACAGCAGGGCAGGGGGTGCCCAGGGCAGAGCTTGTCTAGACACATCGTCACGCTGGTTTAGCAGGAGGTGGGATGTGGGCTGGTGCTGGTCCAGTGTGGAAGGTCAGGAGGACACTCTTAAGTTGCCACAACCCTGGTTCAGGCTGCCGGGATATGAGTCAGTGGGGAGCAATTTTAAGCTAAAGTGGAATCATCTCACCTTGAACAGAACCCAGAGTCTCTCCAGCAGGCTTTGTGCTAATTTAACCCGTGAATCGGACCTGGGGTGGCTCCACGGTTTGATGCCCCCTCCCTGCCCTGGAGGCAGACTGGGACCAGTGCTGGTCGAGGTGGGATGGGAAGAGAGGACTCTTACCAGCGCTGTGCTCTTGCAAATCCCAGTCTCCAGACCACTTCTAGCGAGCAGTGCCTGTGCAGGCTTCCCTGTGTCCTGTGGGCTGCGACCACACACTTTGTGCTCCTTGAGCTCCCGAGGTACCTGCTGGGTCCTCACGTCCTCACACCGTGATACTGGGAGGTCTTGAATTAGCAGAAACTGGCTGAACGAGTCGGGCTGAGGTGTGTTTAGCTGTGAAATGAGGCAGCCAGCTCTGGCAGGTGGATGGCAGCTGCCAAAGCCAGGGGTGGACGCAGGAACCAGCGGGCATCAACATGGGCATGAAGATGCAGGAACTTAGATGGGTTCCTGGGTGC